GCATCTCCGAATTCCATTCCGGCTAGTCCACTCTCGGTCTCTCCGCGTCTCCGCCCTTCCAGAGGCACTCTAGAACAATATACCAGCCTCATCGCACGAGTTGGGTGGATCCAGAATCACTGGCCTCCCTCTAGAACCGCCCGCAAGAGATCGAGACCCTTGAACCACGTGGAACCATTGGCACTCGACTTCTACCCCTCTCGCCAGCTCTCTCTCTCTATCTTCTCGACGACAAAGTCCACGCGATCCCTCCGACTTTCCTCACCGATATCTCTTCCTTCGAGTCTCGCCTTTTACTCTTGCGCCTCGCCTCAATCGGGTCACCTGTCCCTTTGTCTTGACTCTGTGGATGTGGCAATAGCCTGGTCAGCCTGTGCGACAAGTGACGACATTTGCGATTCACCGACTCGATCATCGGCCCGAAAAGATATTATATATACTGTCATGGCAGAGGAAGCCGAAATTCAGCCTACTGCTTCAGAGCAGCCCCATCCTATTGCACGATCCGACTCGTCAGCTTCAACAAGCCCCTCGGATAGCAACGAGCCTGTCATTCACCAGCCCATCCCTGTACGACCTGGTCTGCCCACTCGGAAAAGCAGCGGACCCCTGGTAGTCCCTCGTGATAGCTCAGCAGTTGGCCCTCTGGAACCCGACTTTGGTCCAGATGATGTGAGGGCAATGAGTCCTAGAAGAACAAGTGAGGACCTGGATAGGATGGGCAAGGAGGCCCGGGATGAGATGAAGAGGTGAGTTGGATGGACACCATGTTGGGCATTGCACTGACCGTTCTAGACACGCCAAGGCGCTGCAGGACTCGCTGCTCACGATTTTCAACCGTATCGAGGCCGTACGCGAGGAGCACGACAAACTTGACAACAACAACAAGTTTTTACAAAAGTATATCGGCGACCTCATGAGCACCAGCAAGATTACAGCCTCGAGTAGCCGCAAGAAGTGAAGAAATACTTCTCCAGCTACCGCCAAACCAAACCGGCAACTCAAGATGCCAACACATTACCGATTCGAATAGCGAGATTCGCAAGTCTACCCCGACCCTCTAGAAACTACAACAGTATACCTTGGATTCGAACTTTGGGCCCTTGCAAGGAAGGGCATGATACCCGCGCCTCGACAGCGCTGCTACTTCGTTTCAACATCTCGCCTATTAGGGCTGAGCTCAGTATTATTGCATTTGACTGTACATTAACGCATTTATGAACCCCGGGAGTAGATCCCTCACGATGGATCGATCATGCGCACGGAGGGAGCGCACTGGAGCTTTGTTTTGGTTATTGGTTTTGCATGCAGCATCCCACCTAGCATGGTGCACCCAGCGTTGAAAGGTCATTGGACCCCCGACGCTCACAGGCGGCGTTCTGAGTTGACATTGCCCAAAGCCGGGAACACTTTTGGCTAGGTCTGATGTGGCTTTTTATTCTATCACGGTGTTGCTATGGATGTCGGTGTATTGTAGCTCCCGTAGAAAGGGGGGGAGCGGGTTGGTTGGGTTCCTACTGACATACTGCCTGACGGCACGGAGTGAGGTTCGTAAAAAAAAACAAAAGAGAGGATCGAATTTTTAAGAGCGTGAATGTCCCTCCAGTTCCAGGTGTCTATCAGATTGATACCAGAAGAAGCTTGAGTGTCTAGATTAGTTGCTCTAGTATCAGAATTGACAGGGTTTAAAGCATGTTGAATGTATGATGTGATGATAGTACCTTGGTGAAGTGCCACTTGCAAAACAGCTAGGAATATCATCAACCTGAAACTGAATAAGACACGGACATATAGACAGAATAATAAAATTTCGTCGGAGAAAATAAATATTAACTAGTTAGAATATCTCTCTTCCAAGTTTAATATTTTTATCAAAATATGGTATCATGTATAAACACTTTTCTACCTCGGTAGGTACCTATTCGGATTGGAGGTTTGTTTACCTTACCCTGTGTTAGCCATCCCATGGATTTGCATCTAATCTCTCAACATGCTCCAAGATTCGACCTCCCTCTGCTCACCATCATCAATACACCAGCCATTAACGAAGCACACTTCCCTTTCTCCGCTTTAAATTCCAATCTAATCCCGAGCATCTCGAGTGCCTCAGCCAGGCAGCCAGTCCTGGCTAGACAACCTCCACCGCCGTCTCTACCATAGAAGCACGAACTGTTGGGTAATCACTTCCACCGAACCCAACTGCGCTCGCATTGGCGACTGAATTGACCGAGTATTCTAGGCTTTCCTCTCGAGGCCTGGAGAATCCTCTATGCCGAGCACGGCATCATCGTTTCATAGCCACTGTCGGGTTTAACCCAACTGCGATACTATAGCTGTCGCCTACTACCTCCGCTCCAGGACATGGTCAGTCACAAACCCAACTGCGACCCTACCGTCCCCCCCTCTCTCCTCGATAGACACTATGAGTCACAAACCTAACTGTGGTACTCCTGTGGCCGTCCCTATATGGGAATGGCAGTCCCTGGATAACCACGTAGTTACCGGCGGTTGAGGGATGGGAAATAGGAATACTGGATCACTCATGACACTGACAAGGCTAATACCCCTGCAGCCTTGATATAGCTTCCTAGAAAGAACTAAAGAGAGCGTCGTCATGCTTGCATCTTGGCTTTGGACCCAGTACTCCAATGGAACTCTACCTGTCATTTCTGACTACTTCATTTGCTGGCGTCGAAAATCCACGATGGGTTAAACGGCCGATGCTCACTTACGCCAGCATCACTGCTCTTATCTCATGTCCCAGTCTGGGTCTCTTTTGACCGAGCCAAGACAGGATCGGCGAAACGACCAAAGAGATGCGAGCCAGTCCAGCCGTGATATTCGAAAATAACTGCCAAGGCCGCACCAATCCAGAAGATGAGGAATTGGGTCATCACAGACCTGACCATCTGCCTGAAGGGTATGGGTTTGAGGGGTGACCAATCTCCGGTTTCAAGCGCGGTAAATATACTCAAGGCGTAGTCCATGAGATGAAGGGCTAGAAATATTTCTAGGCAACGTCTGTGGTAGAAGCAGCGCTGGATAATAGCGAGGATCGAGCTTCTCGAAGGGGGAGGGGGGGCATGGCCGACGGAGTAGTCCATGAGAAAGGATGATCCTATCATGACGACTATAGAAAGGCCAATGAATGCGATGAGGCCCATGTTGATGTCAAGTTAGAGGCGTGGGTTGATATGTGGTTGTTGTTGTTGTTGTTGTTATTGTTTGAGATGAGGAGTTGAGATGATGAGATGTTGAAAGAAAGAAAAATAGAAAATGGTAGGGAAGAGGGAGATGAATAGTTTTATCTCACCATAGTTAAAAGTTAGATGCATCTCAACCCCAACCGATGACCAAGACATAAGATGGCTTTGGCCCGAGTTACACGCTTGGTGGTATACGCTGCCATATGTCACCACTAACTTTTCCCGATGCATCTCAACAATGTCTAATCCAAGTTGTAATCAAGTTCTATTAGGCATCAGCATCAAAAAGTATTCACCTGGGTCAAATAAGCCTAACAAGCTGGAACCAGCTTCACACCATGTCCAACGTTGAGGTAATTGTATTATTGGGTATTTTGGAAGGTTGGCGAGATATGTTGTGTTCATGATGTGATGACCGTACCAGAATGTGATGTCTCCAAGGCTTTCTGGATAGTATCAGGGAGGGAGCGTGCAAGATTTGGGATATCTTGATATACCCATGCAATGACTTGGAGCCTCAATGCTTCGACCCAGACCTTTACCATAACTCTTCATCTCTCACTACCTATCGATCCACATCTTCAAACTCGACATGAACTATAAGTCTCATCGTATTCTTCAGTCTTCCTCTGGCCATCCATACTCATAGACTACTACTCCAGCCCACCTTCACCGCCTCCCTCAGAATTAGCAATCCTGGACACTCGTTTATTACTACCTCTCCACTGGCATCGCGTAGAGGTGTTCATCGGTCCCCACCTCACCGGTTCTTTAGACTAGTCTCTCGGTTAGAAAAAGGGTACTGATCACATATCATGCTTGCGATAACTCTCAGGCCTACGGTATCCACGTCGATGTACCAGGTGTTGTTCTGGGCTCTTGCGAATGTGGTAGTTCCGATGGAGCCCTCGCTCCCGCTCTCCGGTCTGGAGAAATTCAATTAATATAGCGTAATCATGATTGAAAGCGTTTGAGTATCACGGTTGGACTGGTGGGCAACTCTTGGTCCGGTTTGTTCGTCTTGGATGATGCTGCACAATGACGCGAGATGTCTAACATACTTCCGACCGGGACTATTGGTGAGGACTTGAACGTCTCGAATGACAAAGAAATTTCGCCAATTTAGTCAGTCAAGGAAATTGTTTTTGTTCTAATTGTGCAAGTTTGAAGGGAGCTGAAAATTGAGGCGTCGTGTTTAGGTTCAGGGTAGGGGTCTGGAAGATCAAGATGAAGAGTTGTCATGAGACGCTGAGCTGTCTAGGATCTACAATGGAAGAGAGGTATGTATGTTTCACCGATACTAAACCAAGGCTTCCAATTGCATGTTGTCATGGGGCAGAGCTCATGGAACGTTATCGCCTGTTACCTTTCTTCGCTTCGTAGAGTCCACAATGTGTCTCCACATTGTGTATTCGGCGGTGTAAGGCAAGGCACATTAACTTGCGGAACCTGGCTCACGGCATTCGTGTTTGACAGGACTTTAATTCTGTATCATAGATTATGTTGCATCCATGTTATTGAAACGTATTTCCCGGAGTCAGTGCTCTATCGGTAACGTTGATGGGGTCACCGTAACATCAAGAGTCACAGGAGCACTCCCGTTCCAATCGCACAAAGGGTGAAAAAGGTCAAAACCTTTGCTAAAATATTGAAAAGAATTAGATAGAAATGCCAAAGTTCAACTTCATTCTATCACGAGGCTAGACAAATGGTTGACGATTGTCAGACCGAGCCCCGATTACCGAATAAGCGGAATTAGCGAGGTGCAACTTAACAACGAGGACACCATCCCGCGCCCTGTTGGCCAAGTGGTAAGGCGTCGCACTCGTAATGCGAAGAGCGCAGTTTCGATTACTGCACAGGGCACGCGAGTCCCCTAGTCGTCTCAGACGGCTTTCATTCTTTTTGCATTTTCTTGCATTTCTCTAGATGGGCATTTTCCACTCCCGTGTCTTTTTTGCCTTGCTAGTTTGATCTGGGTTTAATTGCCATGTTATACTCTTTTAGCAAACGCCTCTTGTGCAGAGTTGACATCCTCGTGGCTCGTTGCTCATAAGTTATCCTTACTTAGCCAATAACGACTTTGTATTCTGTCCGGATAGACAATGTCCCTCCGCGTGTTCAACCGTCTTGTCTATCACCTGTGTAATTGATAGATATAAAGTGATGGACAAATTGTTCGCTGTTACTATAGTCGCAGACTCTTACTTCTGTGACTCCAAAAGCATGCCCATACGAAGCAACCCACGCTGATCCATGATCCAATTCAGGAACACAATGAGTCTCTCTGATGGATCGTGCCTGGTAGTGAACCAGGAGCGCTGGGATAAATCAATATAAATAGTAGATCATTCTCCTGTTACTGTTCTCTCTTCCCGTCTTTATTGTCTATCATCTAACCATCGGGTTTCACTTCTTCTGTTGCCTATGTACTACACTTATCACATCTCCCTTCAGTCTTCACGTAGGTAGGCGGGGAGACGAGGAGGTTGACAGCGAGGAGTCGTTCCTTTACGCTCCGGGTCAACATACTTCCCAACCACAAATGAGCCGTTCCTTCCCAGAAACACCTGCCAGATGCCCCCACCCTCCTTTCCAATCTCGACAAGCTCTTCGCCCTCCTGAAGAGGCAACCGAAGAAGAGTTGGCGTTCGTATGCAAAGGCTCGCCCGTCAAGACCGAGCTTATCGGGCCTAGCCACTGGCCCGCCGCCGCTCCCACCTCCTTGGAGGCTTAGTCCTCCCGGAGCCCGCTCTCGTCGCTGCCGACGCCTCCTTCGCCGTCTGATTTCGTCGTCGCTCGATCTTCTTAAGCGGTTGTGCCTGTGCCCGTTCTCCCCCCCTTGGCTTTTTGGGCTTCGCCTCTACTTCGATTCTCCCTCCTGGAGATTGATCAGCTGACGCCGGCGGAGGGGGAGGAGGTCCCTACAGGCGAATTCGAGTTATTATACTATGGCAGCTCTCAGCGAGTTTGAGCATGATTAAGTTCTTGGGCTAGAGTCGCTTCAACGGGTACCCTTATGAACTCTTCGGCACCCCTCGCTGGGGTCCAGCGGAGAAACCCAACTGCGCGCGGTACTACGGTGCCCTCGGATCGAGCTCGATCAATGGTGCAGCTCTGTCCCAGCCGTATCGTTCTTCGACCGTGATTGTTCGACTCCAGGTATGGTGTCGTCTGCTACGACCCCAATATTCATCACTCATAGATGACGCAGCAAACTCGCTTTCTAGCCCATCCTCGGCACCGCCGCCCAACGGTTCGGACAGTTGTCAATAGAGTCCTAGTGATAGTGAATAAACGTGGGTATTGGGTCAGTCTTGGCTCTTTATAAATGATCCAGTCTCAATATTGAGCTTTGTGACACACATTTGGCTGGGGTTGGGCACGTCACCACCAGCGATCCTCAGTAAATCCTCCTCAATATCTCTACGGTATTTTAGTTGGTAATAGTCTAAGGGTAAAACATAAAACAAAGACATCTAAGGCTAGAGAAAACTTCTACAGTGTTTCTTCTAATGATTTATTAATCCTTGTTATAGGATGTATGAAATCTGAGCTGGCCAAGCACGGTCTCTAGGGGGAGACGTGCAGGATAAATGAGGCCAGTGACCAAATCCAATGAGCTCAGTCTTAACGAGGAAGCCCTTGCAGGAGAAAATCAGCTTTTCTTTGGTTGCTTCTAGTATCTTGTCGAGGTGGGCAGGCTGAATCCCGAGGATGGCGTTGATGTTGATCAAGTTTAGGGACACGTTCCGAACCGTTGTCGAACCTCGCCCAGGCCATATCATTGACAAACCCACGGAAGCCAAATGTGGAAAAGCGAAGTGGTTATAAAGGAGGGGAGAATATATGTTCTAAATCTAATAGCTATGAAGTTCTAGCTCTACAAGGGCAGCCGTTGAAAGCGACTCTGGCTAAGTACTTGATCATCCCTCACTCACTGAGAGCTGCCATAGTACAATAATTCGACTTCGCCTGTATATTACAATTCCCACCCTGACAGGGCCATGCATCGATAGGAAGAAACAGCATGACCCGGGTGCATTGGGGGAATGCTACTTGTAAATAAGTAACTTGAATGGGGAGAACCTGGGCCTGGGTGGTTGAGAGTCATCATCGATGGATCAAAAAGTAGGTAACCAGCAAAGGAACGGGTTCATGCCCCGCACTCGATGAGGCCCTGCAAATCATTGAAAGAGCAAAAATCTGGGCTTTGTATATTCATACATCATGCTATCAGTCATCTACGCCACAATCCTCCCCCCCTCCCTTCCAAAGCCCTCACTCTCCAATACCAAAGGCCCTCCACCAGGACCACTCGCATCCAAGCTCACTGTCACGGCCTTTCTCTCGCCGACAGCGCGCACCGATTCACCCAGGTTTCTTAAGTCTACCTCGCACCCCTGCGGCTGGTTGTCCTGCACCTCCTTGACTTCACGGATCTCGACACCTGGGTATGGCAGCCAGCCCTCACGTAGGGGAATCATGATGAGCGGGATCTCGGCTTCGGTCTCGGCTGTCGATGATAGAGGTTCACTGGATGACCCGGGGATGACAAAGTGACCCTTGCGACGGCCTCCGAGGAGCCAAGTGTCACCAGGAGCCACAACCTCATAGCTGTACTCAATGTCTCTGGTATGCTGGAGGTCAGTGTCCCATACTTGCGTCCACTTGAGGTTAAGCGTCGCAGGGAGCATCTGGTTGACCGCCACGGTTGGAATTGCTCCAGGTTGTTGGTCCAGGAATTCTGTCACTGGCGTCTGAAGCTGGATATCAGCTGTGTGTAGGATAGGAAGCGAAGGGATCTCGACTGGGATGAGGATGGTGCAAGGATCCTCTGGCTGTTCTGTGGGGATCAATACTTTGGGGTGAGACTTTTGCCAACCCCTGAGCAGAGCTGTGATACTCTCAGAAGCATCCTCTTGCGACCCTGGTATCTTCCCAATGCCAGCAAACGACTTTTCCCAAGGAACATCAGCCAAGAAGTGGGTAGACACCGCCCTCAGTAATGCTGCTCTCTCCAGGTCTTGCGTCTGTAGTGCCTTTGTCTCTTTGACGACCGTCGTCGAGATGACCCTTGCAAACGGCTTGAGCGGAGTCTTGTCAAGGGTCTCAAGTATGGATCCTACAATCACCTCCTCAATCTCCGTCTGAAGCACAGTGTAGTAGAGTTTGAGGTACATGGTCTTTGCAGCTCGCTTTCCGGGTCTGACGCCAGGCTTTCTCTTTATCCGGTATAGGAGAGTGGCTGGTTGTTTCGAAAAGACCATGGTTGTGCCAGTGGGTGGAACTCCAAACTCTGAGTCAAACAGGTCCGATGGGATTAGTTCGCTCTTGTGTAGGCGCAATGGACTGTGGCTCGCTGTAGAGACGTTGAAGCGCGAATAGAGTGCCTCATGCTTGAACACATCTTGGACGTTGACGCCCAATGCCAACGAGATGGGGATCACCATCGATTTGGCAAAGTGGTACTTTTCACCGGACTCGAGAGTATACCACACATCGACCTTGGCAGATACGTCGCCAATATCTTGCTCAACCGAGTACGGGAATCGCAGAGTAAACGGAGTCTCAGCGGCAACCTCGTCAAAGAAAAAGACACCGCCTGACTCGGGTTTCTTTGCAAAGTCGACTGTTGATCCGACCACTTTGGCTTCAATTGTTAAAAGACGGAGACCTCCTGTCGCCGGCTTCACCCGTATCTCGCAATTCTTCAAAGTGTTCCAGCCCGGATCGAGGACGAGGTCTATGGTGTTGTTCTTGTCTAGTGCAGTATGCTTGGTCGCCGAAAGTTGGACGTCTAGAGCTCCAGACCGGTGGAAGAGCACGACATCGGGATGTTTGAAGATATTAGTCGTTGATGGTGGTGAATGGTTAATGTCGCGTTCGAAGTGTAGGAATAGGTTGCTCGAGGAGAGGCCAAGATGGTCGACTTTGTACTTTCCGGGGATAACAGACTGGTCCTATTAGCTTCGCTCTGAAAACATATAGATAAACTCACAGTGCAGTCCACTTTGATGCTGTTCATGCCCGGATTCAGCACAATGTCCTCCTTTCTCGAGAATCTCAGCTCCTTGGCAGGCCCATTCTCGCTTGACGACACTCGCACAGCCACAGAATCGAGCTTGATCTCGTCAGGTAGTAGACTCCAGAGGTTGATAGTGAGACAGCACTTGTCTTCATCCTCAAAATACTCTGGGGCTCCTGCTAGTTCGATATCTGTGAAAAAGTTTGACAGATGCACCTTGACTTGAGAAGACAAAGACGAAGCAAGGTCAAACAGATTGCCAACAATGCCCTTCATTGAGGTCGCATCTGCAGGATCAGGCTTTCCAAGAGTTGAAACTCTCTTTGATCGTTGCTCAAGTCTCTCCTTCTCTGCCGCACACGACTTGGTAAGAAGCTTGAGGGCAACACGCACGTAATCATCCTGTGACTTCATTTCACGAAGACAGTGCAAGTACATGACAAGCATGGATAGCTCGAGCGAGCTCCATCCACTTTCACCAAAGAATGGTGTTGCTCGGTAAAAGTAGGATGCAGCGGCGGCGTATTCCTTGAGGAAGAACTTGAGTACAGCAAGATCTGCCATGTTGGCTTGCACAGCGTGATCATGGTTCGCTACCGTGTAATGTCGGAGGGCCTTGTCTGTAAGTATCTCGTAAAGTCGGTAGAAGTTATCCGAGTTGTCTAGCGCGGTTTGGAGTAGGTGGCTGTCAACGCCAACTGTCACAGGGTCGGTATCTTCGGGTCCAGATGCCTCAGAGGTAGCCTCGTCAGAAGCAGGAGCCTTGTCATCAAGACTAATGTCTTCAAAGTCAGCCTCCGCCTCTGCAATGATCGGCGCCTCATTCCACCCGTCACTC